AAAAAAACCAAGATAAACAGCACTTGAGGAACACCACTTAAAGTTGACCATGGGCCTCCACATGCACAAGTACATAGTGTAACCCAACTCACAAAATGTTCTAGGGGAAGTGCAACTCCCCAACAAAAGGATTTGAACAGGACCTCCTCACAGTGCAGAATCACATTACAAACACTGCTCTCTCCTTATTTGCCTGCCAAAATTCAGATATCATCTCATTTGGCCTTAAGCAAGGGGCTTATTCAAGTTCAGCCTAGGCTACAAAGGAGTCTCTGTGACATTAAAAGGAAGTAGAGGCTAAGGTTTGCTGCAATAATCTTACAACCTTAGAACTAGAGACCAGCCTAGTACCTCCTGATAGACTTTATCAAAGGTACTGACCCTTTATCTCCTACATTGGTGCTGCTTGGCCGTCTGTCACCACCATCTCTGTTTTTGGTTCCTCGCCCTGAAGCTGGACCACTTCTTCGGCTTGGGGACTGGTCATACACGAAGTTCCTGCATGATGCTAGTTTGGACTCCAGGGCCTGGGAAAAAACATCCTTCCATCAGTCAAGGTATAGACAAGGGGCTGTCGAAGTAGCCAGCTTGAAGAGGGAGGGAGTGGTGGCCAAGTATGCATGAAGACCAGGGTTTGATCCCCAGTGGTACATAAACTAGGTATGGCATACCTGTAACCCCAATATTCAGGAGGTAGAGACAGGACAATCAGAAATTAAAAGTTATCTTCAATTACATAGCAAATCTGAGGCCAGCCTGGGCCATGTAACCCTATTCCTATCACACGCTCCCCACCCCTCAAGGAGACAAAAAAGACAGGAACATAAAAGCATGAGAGCCACTGGGCATGATGGCTTTGACCCAAGCCCTTAGAAGGCAGGGGCAGGCAGATCTATGTGAGTCCAGTCAGACCAAAGTCCAGATCTCTTGCCAGCCTGGTCTATATAGTGAGCTCCAGTACAGCCAGAGTTACAGAGAGATACTATCAAAAAACCAAATAGAGCATGGGAGCCAGGGAAGAGAAAACTACCTAAATTGTGTTCCCAAGATTCTGAGGGGTGCTCAGTGGAACTCAGTGCATCTACAAGAACTAAAACTCCCCACCTAAAATATTGAGAAGCTTCCCAGAAAATCATTAACTCCACCTAGTGAAATATGAGCTATACATGGTGGCGCACACCTGTAATCCCAACACTCAAGGGACTGAGGCAGGAGAATTACTGTAAGTTCTAGGCAAGCCTAGGTGACATAGCAAGACCCTGTGCCAAAAAAAACAAAAAAGAAAAAAGAACTACCCTCACCAAATACTAACAATAGTACTAATCATCTTCTGGAACCATTCACTTGTTTACATCATTAACCCTGCACAGAGGGTCAAACAAGGCCTTGAACTTGGAGGAAACAAGCCTAAAAACCCAAAAACCTACAGACCTGTGTATGTGGAGGGGCCCCAAAACAGCTTGACCATACAGCTGCCGTGACAGGCTTAGAGGCCTAGACACAGCTTCTGTGACAAGCTTACAGGTAGGCAACACCCAGATCCAGGAAAAGCCTTAAGCTGATAAGGTGGCCAGATGTCCCTGCGACTAGTACACACCTATTTCCCCTTCTTACCAAGACACCCCTAGACAACTGTCAGCCATTCAGGGTCCTGAACCCTGGAAATCCCCTCACCCCAACCTCTGCTATGATAAAAAACCCAACCCCACCTGAGCTCAGGGCTCTCTGCTCTCACCCCTGTGTCTGACAGAAAGAGGGACCAAGCTCCAGAGCTTGAAATAAAGGCTCTTTGATTTTACATATGGGATTTGGTCTCTGTGGTGGTCTTTTGGAGGTCCCCATGATCGGGGCATAACAGTGTATGCAAGCAGACCGGTGTGCGTGTGCATGTGCGTGTTCCCTTTCTGCCTCAGGCCAGGCCCGGCTGATATTAGATGGCCTTCAGGCATAGTTTCCAAAACTGAAAGCACAACTACAAAGGATTCTCTGTGGCTGTAGGAGGACAAAAGCCCCTCCTTGTGATTAACATAGAGCCAGGAAGGCCAAGGTCTTTGCTCTCTATTCTTAAGATGTTTTATAGACAGAGATGGAGAGAAGACTAACCCATTTTTAAATGGCCTTTGGATTTTAATTTTCCTTCAAATTAAGAAACAACCTACAACTGAGCATTGTAGCCCACAACTATAATTTCAGAATTTGGGAGAGTGTGAGGCAGGAGGATTGCAGCCAGTATGAGGCCTGCGATAGAAAGTGAGATCCAATCTTGAAAGAAAGAGACACAAACATAGACATCACCCTATTATCCCAAATTACTTGGGAGGAAAAATGGAAGATGCCTGAGAAGGAAAAGGGGACCTGGATTCTGAGCACCCTACCCCTCTACGATGAAACTCCCACCTCATGAGCTAAAGATGCTCAGAGGTGTAGAAGGACCAAGCACATCTAAAACTCAGGTCTCTGTGAAAGTGGAAAAAGAAGCCCGGTCTAGAAAAACCTTCAGACAAAAAAACCCTTCAAAGGCTGGAGCTTACCCCAACTTTCCGAAGCAGGTCCCCAACGATGTTTAGGGCTGATATCCGGGCTGCAGGTGTGAGTGGGGTCCCATTATTAGAACTGTCCAGACCTGGGTGTACAAGAAGAAGCATGGGTCACACAGTATCCTACAGTCTGTATAGGGTGGGGATGAACTCGGACACCTCCCCTTTAACTGATCACCATTAAGGAGTTAACTGGACAACATGCCAAGAGTCTACCAGTCTATTTTTTGAGTTCTTGGTAAGATTATCTTAAACATCTATTTCACAGGTCAGTCTTTTTAAACCAAGTCAAGGCATGTTAACATTAACAATGACCAGGATAGCCACAATTATGGGAGGGAGAGGCAGGATCCTTCCTGTCAGTCTGGGCATTAGGACTGCAGTCATGTATCACCACAGCCAGCTGAGCAATCCGCATGAATCAGCACCACTCATGGCCAGTGATGGCTCAGTGGTTAAAAGTACTTGCTGACTTCCATGTACATACCACAGCAACCCCCAATAAGTAAACATAAATTTTTTAAAGTTATGAACCCCTCCCCAACACAGCTGGTACAACTGTAGGCCTCATTTGAGACCAGCTGAGCCTGAACGACTAACTCATCCCCAGATGGTTTGAATAAGAATGGCCCCAATAGGCTCATATATTTGAATGCTTTGTCACCAGGGAATGAAACTGTTTGAAAATATTAAGGATTAGGAGGTGTGGCCTTGTTGGAGTAGGTGTGGTCCTCTTGAAGGAAGTATTACTGGGGGTCGGCTTTGAGGTTTCAAAAGCCCACACTAGGCCCAGTATCTTTTCTTGTGGATCAGGAAGTGTCTGCCTGCTGCCATGCTCTTTGCCATGATGATAATGAACTAAACCTCTGAAAGTGTAAGCAGGCCTCCAGTTAAGTGCTTTCTTTTATAAGAGTTGCCTTAGTCATGGTGTCTTCACAGCAACAGAACAGCAACTAAGACACCAAGTTGAGTCATGTGAACACCGAAACACAGGACACTGCTCTGGACTGGGACCCCAGAGACCACACCAGTCTTCAGCAAAGTTCACACTGTGAACTGATCAGGGCTTATGCCCTGAAACTATGAAGGCCTAGACTTGACTTTACAGACTCCATCTTAGGGAAGAACAACCATCTTAGACCACCTGGTGAGTGGGGCTGTACTCGGTTCCAGGAAGAACCTCAGAAATGTGCCATGACATCTTGAACAGATACCCTAGAAGCAGTCAATTAAGAAATAGGGCAGTAAAGTTTAACAAGATCCAGATGCTCCTGCAGACATCCTGTTGGCGATTTATAGCCCTTGCAGATATCCAGATATCCTGTGAGCAGGTTATGGTTCTGCGCCAAAAGTCTAACCCAATAGTTTCAAAAAAATCACTTGCCTCATATCCCTTCTACCCAATCCCAAGATACCAAGGCATGTAAGTCCTGGCTTGTGGTTTTTCCCTTTAAAAACTTTCCTACCCCTGGGCCTGCAGCTGCCACTGCATTTCCCTTCTGCTGGGTAGTGGCCCAGGTTCAAACCTGACAATAAAAAGACCTTTGTGTGCTTACATTGGAAATCAGCTCCTTGGTGGTCTCTGGAGGTTTCACAACATGGGTACAACAGAACCAGCCTGCCTAGCTGTGAACCTCAACTCTGCCTTTATCTGTTAGGTGACTTCAGGGACATTGGCCAATGCATCTGAAAGATGCAGGCTGTGAGGAAGCTCTGTGAGGTCCTACTATGAAGTGTTGTAAAGACTGTTGAGCATACAATGAGCATTTGATAATTGTTTATTTGGCTTCAGTGGCCTGCCTATCAGGTTATCAGCCAAGAAAACTCAATTTTCTTAGTTTTAAGCACACCAATTACATTGGGCCCATTTCCAGGTAGATTTATTGCAGAACACCTCTTCCGCCTCATAAGTATTTACTTATTTATGAGACAGGCACTCACTGTGTAGACCAGGCTAGCCTTGAACTCTCAATCCTATAGCCTCTACCTCCAGAACACAGGGATTATAGATATGTGCCATCATGTCCAACCCATGATTCTTCTGACTTTTATTTGCATACAGCATTTAGACCTTTGGATTTCTGGCCTTTGGGGTGCCCAAAGTGGTCTGCTAGGATGGACCCACATCCTCTGTGGCATGAGTCAAGAGGGTCCTATGTTAGGACTCCAGCCACTCCTCCAGCTATATGACCACACATGCGCATGTTCAGTAGCCAAGCAAGGGGTCTTACGTGCGCTGTGTGAATGTGCAATGTGCAAAGCGTGGTCACGCAATCTGCACATGTGTGGCATAGCTCCATAAGCCTACATGCACATGTACAGGGGAATCCTTAAAAAGCAGGTCACAGACTCCTCCCTTCTCTTCTGCTCTCTCCTCCTCCCTCCTCTCTCCCTTCTCACGTGTCTCTTCCACAGGCCTGGCCACGCTCTCTTCTGTCCTCCCCCTCCTCCTAATAAAGCTCTGATAATGGGTTTTGTTGTGCCTCGTGACCTTTCCTCACAGAGTAAAAGCACCACATTTAAAACCAACATACCGTCCTTCTAGACAGTTTCTGTCCTTTACCACCGAATCTGCTATGCCCTGCCTCACTCAAGACCCTTCTGTCATATATCATGATAGCCTGCCCTACTGAGCATCCCCATACTACTCCCTAACCCTGAGCCAGACCCAAACCATCTTACCCAGGACCCATACTAGGTTCTTACCAGAGCAAATTTTTCATTCATTCATTCATTCATTCATTCATTTCTAGACAGGTTCTCTCTACAAAGCCCTGGCTATCTTGGAACTCACTATGTAGACTGGCCTTGAACTCAGAGCTCCACCTGCTTCTGCCTCTTAAGTACTAGGGTTAAAAGCATGTACCACCACATCTGGCCTAAGGGCAAACTCATTGAATCAAAGAAAAATCTCCCTCTGCTCCATCTCCTTACCTCGTCTGAATATTCCTGGTGTGTTCAAACCAGAGTTGGGTCCTCGGTGAGATATGGGAGTGGATGGCACAGAGCCTGTGACCTGCACAGCCATGTCTGTCCTTTCTGTTTCCCCAGAGCCTGGCATGGCTGTCTGGGGCTTGTCTTGCTTCTGCTGCACAGCCAATTCCTGCCGCAGATCTGTGCAGGGAAAGGATCCAAAATAGGAGTCTGTACTTTTGGGTGAGGATGGAGCCAAAACAGGAGTGCTATGACCCAGAAATCAACCTGGAACCCTGACTGGAGGGACACCACATGCCCTCCTAACAGTCATGCAAAACAACACACTTTCCTTCTGCATGAAATACTGAAGAACATAAAAACTATAGTACGTGCTTCACCATGCTAAGGGTTAAAAAGACTTCACATTATGGTATAGAATTCCAAGTGAAAATCCCTGCTTCCCGAGGTCCCTTCTCCCTGGAACACGTGGCCAAGTTTTCTTTGTGTGTGTGTTGTTGCTGTTTTAGAGTTTAAAGCAGGCAAGCTTGAGATCTCAGCAGCTACCAGATGGAAGTTAAGAGAAAGTAAGAGAGAAAGCCACACTTTTGAGTTAGGCCAGTGCACTCAGCAATGGCAAGGGAGCCCGAAGTGCCAGGCTCCGGCCAGTACTGGAAAGAGACAGAGAATAAGGAAAAGTACCTGAGAAAGTTGGGTAGACCTGCAGAGCAAGGTGATGGCTCAGCAGGTGTTTGCTTCTTGCTAAGTATCCAGGATGGCCTCAAATACTCGATCCTCCCGAGTCCACCTCATGAGCTCTAGATTCTAAGTGTCCACCACTATCTAACTTTCCAGACCTCCTCTGGACACAGTTCACATGTGTTGGAAACTCCCACTGAGCACAATACAAGCGATTTTAGGAAACATTAGCAGTGGATATGCTACTTCCTATCTGTGACTAATTAATTCTCTCCCCTTCCATGAAGGGTTTGGCCCATCTTTCCCATGACAACATGTCTACCAATGCCCATTCATTTTAATAACTGTTTAACATTCCACAAAATAAATTTCTGTGATTTATTGGTGTCTTCATTACTGATGGCTATAGGTTCAAGAGGCTAGTAGATCTTATATGAAATGTTTTGGACTAGATGTGCTTCAGATTTCAGAGTTCTTTAAATTTTGTGATATTTGATTGACTTTATCAATCAATTGAGAATTTCTCCTATCCAAGGTTTTGTTTTGTTTTGTTTTGTTTTGGAGACAGGGTCTCTGTAGGCCATGCTGGCCTTGAACTTGCTATGAAGCCAAGGATGACCTTGAACAATTGATCCTCCTCCAAAGTGCAGGGATTACAGGTATGCACCACCATGCCCAGCTCCACTGAGTACTCCTAATGGAATCCAACATGTTCTGAAATCTAAAACTATTTAAACTTGACCACTGCTTCTTTTTTAAAAAAAAGATTTATTTATTATGTATACAGTGTTTTGCCTGCATGGATGACTGCACACCAGAAGAGGGCACCAGATCTCATTATAGATGGTTGTGATAACCATGTGCTTGCTGGGATTTGAATTCAAGACCTCTAGAAGAACAGCCAGTGCTCTTAACTGCTGAGCCATCTCTCCAGCTCTAACTGTTGCCTTTAAAACCCTATCTAGTAACTACATCATTGGGAATCAAATTGTCATTTAAAGAAAAAGAAAGGAAGGGAGGGACTGAAGGAGGGAAGGAGGGAGGCAGGGAGGGAGGGAAGAAGGAAGGAAGGAAGGAAGGAAGGAAGGAAGGAAGGAAGGAAGGAAGGAAGGAAGGAAGGAAGGAAGGAAG